CTCTACTTGGTCCAGGTGCTTCCTGTGGTGAGTATGTAGTGCTTATGAAAAACCAGTGCCAGAAGAGTTCCTTGTGGTCTGCAGAGAGAGCCTACACCAAGCCATTTGTGACAGCTGGCCTTCCCTGAAGTAATAATCCTTGTCACTGTTCTCTTGTGACAGGGGAATGTGGTGAATGTACTTCTTACATCTGCAAGTCACCTCTAAGTGTGTGGGGTAGAAATGCACAGGTACACCTTTCTATCTCCTGACAAATGCCACTTGTTTTCTGTTTTGCTGCTTTGAAGACTTCAGGGAAGTTGGCAGAAACCTGCCATCTTCTTTGGAACAGGAGTTCCTGTAAGAATGCTGAGAGGACCAGGTGGAGGAGAAGTTTATTTACCAACATGTACCACTTACCCAGAAAATCTCTAGTGCTCATGCCACATTGTCCTAAGTGTAGTCCCTCTTACCTCAGTGGTTTGGCTGCCTCACTCTGCCAGGCAGGGTGAGCTCACAATTGGATAATTTGTTTGTCCCATAACACCTAAGGATGGAAGCTTTTTAAAGTGGGAGCTCATGTCAACCTGGGTGGGGGTCAGCTTAAGGTAATTAGAGGCTCAGTATGTGAGCCTCTTTCTGTTTGTTTTAAATAGTGAGTCAGCATCAACACAAATAGGAGCCACTTCCACTCTTGTAGTTCAAAGCATATTAGGAGAGTTTATAACTGCTAATGAACAACATTCCAGAAAAATCAGAACCCAGGCTTCCAAGATTTGAACGTTTTGCATTATGAGACGCTCAAGCTTGTGTATGGTAAACAAGATTTAGAAATTCTTCTATGTAGTTGTGCTTTGGACCCCAACAAACATTAGAAGAAAATGTCTAACTGTGCTTGGATTTATTTTATAAACCAGGATGGCTTCAGCAGTCTGTGTGGCCTTCCATTCAGCTGTTTGCTTAAGCCAAGCCAAAACCCACTTATCTAAAGATGATTTACTCTCACTCTAGAGCTGACAGAACCAGGCTGGAAAGGGCAAAAGCTGAATAATAGTCTAAGCCTCTGACTTCAGTCAAATCATAGTGGGAGCACGAAGGACTGACCATAACATTGTTCTGCAAAGTACTTGTGGTTCTCTTGTACATCGTTTGTTGGACACCTTTTTTAAATAAACAGCCATGGTATGTGATTGACTCAGATTTGAACTTTGCAGCTGTTGCTTTCTATCTGCCTGGTATGCCTGCAGCTCAACGTCTTCAAAATCAAAACCTTACTTCAAATATTATAATTTGGAGAAGCTTCTCACTTTCTGTTTCTGGCAGTGTGAGTAAAATGGAGGCAATTTTGTTTCTTTATCTTGTTCAGAAAAATAAACATTGTTTATATACTTTGAACATATTGTATAGTAAAAGGCAACACTTTAACAGTCCTAGGTAGAGATGTGAAAGTATGACTGGAGCAGTGTCAAAATTGAATCTGAAGAGAAAGAAACCTTTTAGCAATGTTTTAAGTTGGCTTGATTGGTTAGATTAAAACAGCCAAAATAATTTTGCATTTGAGAACTCTTACTCTCTTTGGATGCTTTGAGGATCTGATGTTCTTGTTGGCATCTTTTCACTTCAGACTTCACTTAATGCAGAGCATGACTATAAGCGTGGTTCTGGTAGCCAAGGTATTTGAGGCTGAAGGTTTAGTTTTGGCCCGTCCAAGAGCTGTGCTGTCCAGACAAGTAATGTGGGTTGTACAGTGGGCCAGAATGGCACTGCCAAGACCATCTTGCTGCTGTGGTGTGTGGCTCATGTGGGCACGTGCTGTGCAAGGCTGTTTCCCAGCATGGATAGCCTCCTTCCACACCAGTGTGACTGAATGCAAGAGTAAAAATAGGGGGAGTCCAAGTGACTAAGGCTACTGCTCGTAATCTCCTTCCTCAGTGAGAATTACTTTAAATGAGTTAATACCAAAAGGGTTAAAGAACCATTGTGTATTTTGAATTGGGGTTGTCAAAGCAAATATTTTGACAATTGGTCAAAAGTGGATGCTGAGTGGCATGCTGTGAAGAACATATGGTTCTGTCGTGGAAAAAACTTGTTGAGGGATGGGAAACTGAGAGGAAGAATAAACAGCTAGTTTTCAGCCTTGCAAGGGCCTGGTTTGAGTTTCTGCTGAGGAAAAATGGAGAAAAAAAAGCGCAGGGGGTGAACAGAGTGAAGCTTCATGAAGCACAGTTGTTTAGCACAGCCTGTAGCTGGAAAGGCTTCCGTGTATAGCACAAATGTGTTGTTGGAGCCACATGAGAGAGATGGTTAGGTTCATTGGGAAAGCCAAAGTGGGGAGGAGATTGTTGGAAGGAAAAGGGGTAAGTAGTTGTTGGGAGGAAAAGGTTAACTGCATAAATGTGACTGAGCTAGAGCTTGTCTTCAGTCTCTCCTTACTAAGTCTCAGAATGAAATGCCTCTGCCCCTGCTCTGTGCCCACCATCCTACTTTATATGTTTTTGTCTGTCTGACAAAAAGGACTTGTAGGTGAGTGGTGCTCTCCTTTCAGCACATCACTAGTGCAAGAAAAAACTTATGCAGAATTGGGATATTGGCTCTTGGTATGTTTTGCACCAGAATAAAGTACTCATTACCTAGGAAAAGCCAAACTGTACAGGTTTTATTCAAAACCAAAGTATTTTCAATTTAATTGTAGTTCTCAATGACATCTACTACCTCACTTTTAGATGCTGCAAAGTTTCCCTTAGTTGCACAACAGGGAATTGAACTCCTGAGATTTTGAACTCCAGGTCAGCTTCAGACAGGTTATTTTGTTCATGCAGTGACTTTTCTGGAGATACTGTCTCAAAATTTTGCTGCAATTTATTGTGCTTACGTTTCAGTTGGGAAAGAACCCCATGATTTGGTCTTTCCTTCTAGTATAGCATCCTGTATTTGTTATCAGTGACATATTTTTATGGCTGCCAGTGTTCATCTAGAATTTCCACCTACCTAAGTAAATATGAACTTTGTTTTCATCTGTGTTCAATAAATGGTGTTTTATATCCAGCAGTACAGAGTCAACAGTAACAGCCATTATGGGTGTTCAGCTCTTATGTCCTTTCCACCTCACTGAAAATCCTGGGAATACAATGACGAGGAATTCATATGGGTGCAGTTCTTACAGAAAAATACAGGATTTAGAGCTCTTTGGAGCATCTTTAAAAAAAAATAAAGGCATTTTCAGTTACATTCTCTTTATTCACGCAGATGACATCAGAAGAATATAGGTTTGTAGTGGACATTTCCTACATTCCAATCATTATTTAAAGTGGAACTGCTGAGCAAATTAGCTATCTTTGTCAGGCTGGCACTTCAGCTCCGTTATTACAAAGGGTGTATTCAAGTCATTAGTATGTAAGGTTGCTTGAAAGCTTAATGCTCTCTCCCCACACCCCCAAAATGGAAAATTAGCAGAACTGTTTACTCACTATGTCTAAAAACCCTTTTTTAAGGCAATATCATAACACTGAGCTACAGGAGACAAATTCTGTTGTTGGCACATCAACTTTAAGCCTTTTATACCAAAGGAATCTGCAGATTCAGTACAACTAGTACAGGGGGAGTAGAAATTTCTGGATGAAATTTTGAATGTGTGAAGTTGCATGTGTCTGTTTCATTTTGCATTCAGTGGGACTAATATTTAACTACCCAACTTAGAACTCCTAAGAAACTGAATACCAACCCCATGACAAACCTAAAAAAAAATACTGGGGATGCCTGTTTTTCTGGCATCTGTTGACTGCAGCAGCACAGCAGGGAGGTCCAGATCTGGTTCTTCTCTCTTGCCTCCAGTTCAATGTCAGTATTTGGGATTTGGTGAGGAAAACTTGGAAGTGCTACGTTCTCATCATGGAGGAGGTAACATGAGGGCATTTCCTGCTCCCACCCTTGCTTTCAGGCAGCACTGTTTCAGTTCAAGAGCAGAGGCGTGTGGGATGACCTGTTTGTTATTTTGAGGCCGATATTTGGATAGGAGTTGGAAGTATAGTGATTTCTGCCTCTTGTACTAAGATAACTGTAACTCTGGGAATGTCATCAGCCACTGCTGAAAGGCAGTATAATGGCTTGGGGAAGGCCCTGGGGAACATTTTCCTGCAGTCACAGCATACACTGGGCTGTGGAAGAGGGGAATTGAGGGGAGCGAGGAAGCTCAAGGCTGACTGGCAACCCCTCTGACTGGGCCTTTTGGCCCCTTGGCAGTGACTGAGGCTCTTTTGCACAGATTCCTCTTTACAATGGCATAAGTCAACAGAGTCTACCAGTGCTGGCAGCAGTTTAAGATGAGGTGTGTGACACACCTGCAGGCAGATTGTTTTCCTGAAACACTGGTGCAAACCTCAATCTCAAGCCCAGGGAGGCACCACTCCTTGCAAAATCCAGGCTTCAAAGGGGTCACCACATCACAGGGTGAGCTGTCTGCAACTGTAATCTTATTCACCTCTTCTTGGGGCGGGGTTGGCTCAGCTGCCGTCAGCAGAAACCCAGAAGGTTGGAGCAAGGTTCCATTCTTGCCCCTTGCACCTAGGTGCCCGTGGCATGTGGAGTTGTGTTCAGCCTCTGTCCCGAAGGCGGGCTGTGCTGCCTCCCCAAAGTGAAGGCAGGAGCTGCACATCTGTGAAACTGCTTAAACGTGTCCAAACATTTTGCTGGGTGACTGCCAGCACCCTTGGTAATTTGGACCATAAGAAGATGATGGGGGTGTGGTGGTAGGAGTGGGTGGGACCGCTGGGTGTTACTAGGACCTTTGCTTGCAAACACCCACCATGGGATAGGGCACAGCAGATATTGTAAGTATTAGCAGCACTGGGGGGGAGATTAATTACTCCCCTGCAACAAAACAGGAAGGTTTCCAGCAGGCTCTGTTTGACCAGCCCTTGTTAGATCTTTGTATGTTGATGTGAATCTGTGCCAGATCTTGGTTTGTTGTGGGGGTGGAAATGACTTTTTTTCTCACTGCTGATGTGTTTTCTCTTTTCTTGTAGGTGTGTGATGTCAAACAGTGGGCAGTCCTTGTAGCCTCCCCCACCAGCCTTCAGTGTCATGTGCCAGTATGAATATTAAGAAAGAGAAGCATACTTCAGAGCTCAGCATCCCGGAAAGAAAAAAGAAGGAACTAAGCAGAGAGAGCAAATGATTGTACTGCTTGCAAAACTTGAGACTGTTCACTTTTTCTCCTGAGAAGCTTCATCTTGGCCTTTGTGGTAGAGTCAAGAAAGCAGGCAGAGCAGCCACAGTGATTTTCTTTTTCCCTTTTTAATTTTTTTTCTCCCTTGTGTCTGGATTTTAAGTGTGCTGCACTGATCACAAGCACTGGACATCAATATGTGTCATGTCATTGTAACGTGTCGGTCGATGCTATGGACTCTCCTGAGTATTGTGGTGGCTTTTGCAGAGCTCATTGCCTTCATGAGTGCAGATTGGCTGATTGGCAAGGCAAAGCCTTCAAGCTCCGAGGAGGTGGACAACAGAACGGGGGGATCGCAGGAGCCCTACCGACCAACGCTGGGCATCTATGGGCGCTGCACCAGGATTTCCCACATGCAGTTCTCTAGACGAGACACACTTTGTGGTCCTTACGCTGAAAACTTCAGTGAGATTGCCAGTGGGTTCTGGCAGGCAACCGCTATTTTCCTAGCCATGGGAATCATGATTCTCTGCACTGTGGCATTTGTGTCTGTCTTTACTATGTGTGTGCAGAGCATTATGAAGAAAAGCATTTTTAACGTCTGTGGGCTGCTACAAGGGATTGCAGGTACGTGCACTTTGAGATCAACTAAAGTTTTAATTTTGGGGTAATTCAGATGAAGAAACGCAACAATTCTGGCCTGTCTGCAGACAGACTACATTAGGCAGACCCAAAGCAATTCTATATGCTGGTGTTTATTCAAACATAACTGAAATTTATAGCTACACAGCATGTAATACATTGACATTGGCAGTGGAATTGCAGCCTGATGTGTGCCAAAATGAACTGACCAGTATTACTTTTGTTTGCTGTTCATTTTTTTCCCTCTGTTTGAATTTCTTTCAGCTACAAAAACTACTCTCCTTTGCTACCAGCAGAGAACAAAGTTAATACTCATATTAAGGCAGTCTATCTCCCTCTCCCTACTTTAATAATTTTTCCATAGACTGAAGGCAGTTCCCTCGATGTCTCAAAGGCTTCATGACTGCAGTGGGAGTAAATACCACCCCAGGGCTAAGAACTGGTTCTAGTTGCACACCCAGTTCCTCCAGCATTTCATGCTAAGCAGCCTCCTTCAAAGCTGTGAGCTTGACAAGTGATACCTTGAGATAAACCTGTCCTTTAGCCAGCTTATTGTTCAGCTGCAATTACACAGCCTAGGGAGCTTGTCTTTTCACTGTTCAGGGATCAGCTGTGCTTTGCGTGAAAAGATGAATTTGTTCTAGAGATTTGGTGTTTCTGCTTAAACCCATAGATTTTACAGAGGTTAAATGACTGTTAGTAAACCAACCCTGGTTGGACAGCCTTAGTTAGAGAAGTATTCATTTTTCTGTACTTGCCACTGAGGCATGGGGAAAACATGTCTCATACACAAGTTTTCATCTTTTGTGCTCTGTGTGTGTGCATGTTCATCTGGAGGAGGAGAGTGGTCTTCTGCCTTGCTTCTGGCAGCCCTCAGAGACCTGTGAGGGGGGAGGATTTGAGCAGAGCCACCTCCTCTTTCTGTCTCGGTGGGGCTCTTAAGCAGATGTTTTCAATTCACATAATTATTTAATCACAACAAAAATTAGGTTTTAATTTGTTTTGCTTGAAATGTGAATCCAGCTTTCCCCCTTCTCACCTCCTCTAAGGTGGCCAAATATGTCTGTGATGGCTATACCTAAACAGAAGATGTAATAATAGATATTTATCTGAAGCTGGATGGTTTAATTTGTTTAGTTGAGACCTAACATAATCTTATTCTAAAGACACGTGTGGAAGTAGGTGAAAACTGATTTTACTGCCTGCTGCAACCCCTCAGAGCCAGTGTTCCATGCCAGGGACTGCTGGAGCTGGCTCCTGAAGCACTACCACAGTGACTCTCACCCTTGCCTACTTCATTCATCTTCAGTGTAGAAGCATAACACTTACTTCACATCACCCACAATGTAGGGTTTGTGCTTCTGGAGCAGAATTATATCCCTAGATTGGCTAAAGATGCTTTTATTCATCTGATGGCATACAATTAGCATATTAGGTCCTTTAGATGAACAAGACAAGTTTTTGCTGTAGTCACTCCTGGTGTACAGAATTTGTCAGAAGCAGTGTGACAAGGAAGCAGCTTGGCAGTGCAGATTAAGCCAGGGGAAGTTGTTAGTTTCTTGCTTTCTTACTCCATACTTCAGAAATAGTCCATAACTATTTTTTCAGGAGTTGCAATTATTACTTGTTTTCTTTTGGAGGGGTATTTGTACAGGAGAGATTACTTAGAAGCATAAATTGGCATGTCAGATTTGGGTCTTTTGAAAAGATGACTTCACTTACACCTCTGATACCATCCCAAAGTAACTAGTCTATCACCTAGGGTTAGCAGGTAGAAGGTACTTGTATCTTAGAATAGCGTTCTGGAAACCATGCACTTGTGAGAAAATGCATGCTAAGGCAGTTTTATATTTTATTTTCAATCCAGCTGTACCCATAATAGGACTTGTAGCCTAAAACATTGAACAGTACAGTCGACAAAACATTTCTTATGTGTTAGGGCATAGATCAGTCATTAAGCTGTACTGAGGATACAAGCACTTCACTTTTTACAATTCAGGTAAATGACACAGCATAAAACTGGGTAAAAGAAAGGTCACTTTACTGAAATGTTGGTGTGAGAAGTAGAAGTGCCAGTATTTACAGCCAGGCATCTTGTGGCTCACAGCTCATTTTCTCAAGATTAGCTTTATTGGGCTATTTTTGTGCCAGTAGTATCACAGCATCTGCTTACTTAGTTGCTGTTATTTTCCTTATGACTAATGATGGCTGCTAATTTAAACTTTCTCAGTTCCTGAGTTTTGAATAATGCTTAAGAAAGTTGCTCAAGAGGGACAGTTGTCAGCATGGCTAATTCAAACAGGGATTATGATAGATACACTAATGCCCTGACCAGAAAACAAGTTATAACTGTGCCTTAATAATTTTAAGCATAGCATCATTCTTTCTAATGTGAACCATTACATTTTTAGTAAGTGTACAAGAAGAATTCAAAAAATAATTTTGTTAATCAGCCTGTATCAGTACAATATTTGCAAATATTTCAAACATCTCCTTTTCAAACATGAGATGCACACATGGTAGAGTCATCTACAGGAACTCAGGATCTTGCAGACTTAACCTCATTTAAAATCTCTACATCTTTGCAGCAGAGATTTAATATAATTAAAAACATACAACAACCTACTTTATTCCTGGAATTCATCATGACAAAACAATAACAGACACCGGATACATCTTTCCAGTCTAGCAAGATTGGTTGTGGATGATGCCTACGGTGAAATTACAGAACAGAAAGCAACATCTTTTCTGTTACGGCCCTTGAACAAATGTGCATTCAGATCAACAGGAGGAAGCCATACATATCTCTGGACCATAGGAATTTTTTTTTATTATTATTATTTTTGTGGCAGAAAATGAGGAGTATGAGGCCATAAAGGAAGAAAATATGGGTCTTGTTTAAACTCCTGTAATTTCTTTGTTATAGAGCAAGAACTTCTACCACTTTACTTTCAGACTGCAATGCCTTTCATTCTGCAGCTGTAGAAACAGTAATCAATAGCCCTGGTTTTAGAGATGTTTGAGGATTGTTTCATCTGGATAAGCACCTTTTCTCTGCTTTAGAGAGCGCAGAGAATGGAGACATGCAATTGAATAGATAATTAATATCCAGCAGCAAGAAGACCAGACAGTCTTTCATTTGTATGTGTTTTTAGGGAAAGTATTCTAATTTTAGTCTGTGAATCACTTGAAATGCAGAGGCTGGAGGAGGAAGGATATTTGTACATGCTAACTGATGAGAATCAATTCAAAGTAAATTTTCACAGTAGTCACGTAGCTATAGGAAGTAAATAATCGGTGATCCTGTACTGACACACCTTGATAAGTCTATAGTGTAGTTGCATATGTGTTTACAAGTCTTATTTGGGCTTGTGTACTTCACTTTGTTGCTAAGTAATACAATATAAACATAACCTAGCCTCAAAGGAAGGTGGGGAGAGCTTAGGATAGAGCCTAAACCAAGTTTGGCTTTCATCGCTGATCGTTTCCTTTATGAAGTTCATAATCAACAACTTGGCTTCCTTTTTTGGCCTTTGACACATGGCTGGGCAGACACAACCCCTTCCCCACAGCCAGTGTCTGCCTGACTTGCAGCTGGGCCACAATGCACCAGCAGCACCCAGACTGCACACCACGGGGAGGAAACTAAATTAGCTGCACCAATATTATATCAACCACCAAACTTGAGCAAGCCCCTGTTTTTTTGTGGGGAACTTGAAATCATGTGCCTGTAAAAGCTTTGTGGAGAGCAGTGGGGAAATGGAGCTGACATGTCAGGAAGGCAAATGGGTTTGGGAGTTCAGTTTCTTTTACTGCTCTTTTGCTGTGCTGGAGCAGGGCTGCCTTGCCAGGAACATTTACCAAAAGAGGATAAAAATAGTTCCTCTTCTCTAAAATCTTACCAGGGTGCTGATGGCTTCATCTGGGAGGCCTCTCACGGGTCACCCCCTCCTCATCTCTTCCTCTGCTCACAGCCTGCTGTTTCCTAGCTCTAATGGGGCTTGACAGAAGCATGCAGAAAAAAAGCATGTAAAAATTGGGTTGCAATCAGTCAGAAGACCAGCTGTGTCCCAGGTGCACACCGAGGAGTGTCTCTGGTTCATTCAGGTGAATGCATGGCTGCAGTTTGCTGTCGTGTGCCTTAGCTGGCTGTCCCACTGGCAGTTGCATCTTTAACAGGTAGATGTCCAGTCAGGCAAAGCAGAGGTTTCTCTGTTTTCAGAGGTGTTTTCAAAGGCTGCTGCAGGCAGGTCAGAGAGCATTAATCCCTTGGATGCTGAGTTGAAGTGTGTCTGCTTGGGCCCAGATGCTGCCGCTTTGGGTCTCTCTCTCTCACCCCAGCAGTTTCTCCTCCAGCATTGCTGGTGAATGACTCAGCTTCTCTTTCAAGAGCTGTTTGTTTTTTCCCTGACAGCTGCCCTGCTCAGTCCCAAGCAATGATACCTCTTCTACAGCACTTTCTCTTCTCAGGTATCTCAAGAGCTCTTCTGCATTCTTTCTTCTCACCTTTTTATGGTTTCTCTCTGTGACTGTGCATGTCTTCTCCTTTTCCCTTCTTGGTGGGAAGGTTCCTCCATCAGAAGCTGCTGCGGTACCTTGGCCAATTGTTCAGTTCCAGGAGTACAACTTTACCATCAAATCTTAGGAAACTTCTCTGCAGCTTTCTAAAATGAAGAGAAATTCTGTTTGAAATTCCATTTCAAACCAGCTGTGTGTGTAACATTCTGATTTTGCTGCTGAAAGAGTTTGTTTTACATCTCTTGAGCTGAGAAATTGTTCAGCCTGTTATACTTACTTGGCATTGTTTTCATTTTGGGATTAGGAAGATGGCCTGAGCAGAGTGTGATACAAACCATCTGAAGGGGATGAGGATCTGGAGCTGCTTGTGGGGGTGGGAGAAGTAGGATCCAGCCGCACAGGGTGGGCTCATGGTGTGTGCAGCCCTGTGACTGCAGACTCCTGGCTGCTCGAAGTTAATGAGGCCG